ATGGTACAAAAATGTTCAATTTTTCAATCGCAGTAATATTATCAAAAACACAAGAAAATTACTAAACTTCATGTAATTCCAATAGAAATCACCGTAATGTCGTTAAATATATATATTTGGTTACTTAAAATAACATTCAAATGATAAATAAACACAAAAAACACAGAGCTAAAACAATAGTCGGTTTTCGCTTTGACAGCTAAACGTCTCTTGTTGAAACTTTAAAACCATTATAATCAGAGAAGCACTAGAAGGCACTCCATTTAAATTTATTTAAATTAAAATTATTAAATTAAATATTTTGAAAATATTTCAATATTTTTCATTTTTCTTCTGATAAAATGTAAGTGTGTTTGTCGATTTATAAGCGCCATCTATTGCGAATTTGTACCATTTTTAGTTATGAGGGACTGGCGCTGATATCAAGTTTTTTCACGTCGCTCCCATGATTACCTTCCTGAGCAGCGATAGCTATTGGTGTAAATCCCTCCTTGTCTCTAATGCTTACATCTGCACCATTTCTTATTAACAGTTCAACTACATTAGTATGACCTGTGGAAATACAGATTCAAAAATGTATAACATTTTGACGGTTTGAAAGAAGTGACATCAATTTCAATTCTACTACCATTTTCCGAAGCCAATATCAAAGGTATCATTCTTTCATTATGTTGACTGTTGACATTGGCCCCATTTTTCAGCAAAAAATCCACAATTCGCTCTTTGCCTACGAAAATGATTTTGATATAAATGTTTTGGAACTTTTGTTATATACAGAAAATTGATTGAATTGAGAATTTCTTATTAAAAGTTCAACTACATAAAGTTGATCTGAAGAAAAAGAGATTCCAATATTTCTGGGAATACATTTTTTGTAAATGGTCAAAGTATAACCAAATTTTGAAACTACCGTAGTGAGATGCAAGTAATAAAGGTGTCCAACCATCACGATTTTTGATATTAACATCCGCTCCATTTATTATTAATTTTTCGATTTCTTGTACATCACCTGAGTAAGACAATAAACGGTTTCAAAGGTACTTTCTAGTAATAATCTAGGTAATAACTAAAAGTATAACTAATATTTCATAAATTTTCATTACTCACCTTGCTCAACAGCATATTGAAATGCTTGCCATGATCTTCTGAAAGAATGACTATTGAATGCTCTAGAATAATAAAATGTCTTACATCCGTAAGATGAACTTTTCCGCACCGTGATCCACACCATGCATTAATTACAAATATTTTACACAAAGAATTCACGAGAAAACTGAACCTGACATTAGTTTTAAGATACAAATAATTTTCGAAGCACTTTTCATACAAAAACTACTAAAAATGCCCATACAACATTTCGTTTTTGAGTGAAAAATCCAAAATTTTGTTCGGGTGGTACCCCTAATATGCGTTGAAATGTTTTCAAACTCTCGAAATGGTATTTTTGTATGATAAAAATAACCTGTG